GAATGTTTGTCACCCTCTTGGTGTCAGATGTGTTGTCCTGTACTGTGACATATGCAACCGTGACTACTTTTTTGTCTCTACTCAGCTTAAATGAGACTCTGTAGCTTCTCTTCCCTCCACTTCTTTAGCAATTGCATCACTATTCTTCCAAGTATCAGTGTGTAAAAGGATTTCTTCTGAATGTTTTCTGATCAGTATTTCCTGCAAGTACCAGTTATGTTCTCTGTGATAAACTTGAGGTACTCCTTCCTCCTGCAGATTGTCTTCCTTTCTTTAAGCTATCTACCAAAAAGAATTGGGTCTGTTATCTTGTGGACATCAATGTCTGCTGATTCTCAGTCTTGCTAATAAAGTTTACACCCTCTATGCGTAACATATGTCAGTCATAGCAAAAATAGTTTGTAATCTTGGATTATTGCTTTGCTTTTGATACAAATCCTGTAAGTGCTTGCACATCTTAAGATGATTCTTTAATCTGTCCAAGAGAAACTTTAGGTGAGAAAGTGAATAAATGACTGTTGTTGTAGCAACTTCCTTTCCTCTCCGTCATTATGAGCTGAGTGACAAATATAGTCTCAGTCTGAGTGCTCCTGCAAACATTTTTGTGTAGGTTTGGTCAATGTCTAGATCCCTCTTGTAGTAGTTCCTTTCTGTTGCAGGAAATGTAAGGTAACTTCTCAGCCTCAAAGACCACGACTGTCCAGTTCACTAGTGTTGGTGTTAGGTAATTAATCAGTGCTGCCAGCCTCAATTGCCAACTTACACAATTCTTAAGTAAGTACTGTTCTGTCTTAACAGTAACTGTTCTGTACTTACTTGAGTAAGTACTGTTCCCTGGTATAGCATTTCATGCCACTGCAGGTGTCTGCATATTATTCTTCGTCATCTCGTTGGCTGCAATCCTTACCAGAAACTTCAGTGACATGCTGCCAGCACTGCTTCAGGTCGTGCCAACCCATGTTAACACGGTATTTTCTTGTATTCCTACAATTGTCTGCTTCCTCCTTCTACAGTGTTGGTTCTGACTTAAAAGTAGTAAATGCAGAGCCTTGCCTGCTGGTGTCTTGGCAAATAACAAGGATTTTACACATAATGCACTACAGCAGGTGGTTCTCCTAACTTCTTTTGTAGGCAAAATAAAATGTGCAAGTTCAAAAAGGTAAATTGCTTTTCTTCTTGGGTGACCTCCACAGACCACTGCACATCTCTTTCAAAGGACAGAATCAAATATGCCAGGGCAGGCTGGAAATAGCGAAATAGAAGAGCAGTTATGCTTCCTGTTTGATTTTATTGATTATAGCAGATTCCACCTGCTTTGACTAATGGTTTCTACAAGAAGTGTGGGAGACTTAAAGACCCGGATTATGTTGCCAGTTGCTAGAATTTGAAGTCTGATTAAATGATGCTGGTTGTGATAGGTAGGTAAAGTGCTCTTTACTTAAGTCCTAGGAAGCTAGGAAGGGACGGTTTTAAAGTGTTTTAGGAGTACAGGATTGAATCTGATTGCATAGTCATTGCTCTGTGGAAGAACACATCAAAAGCCTGACTGAAATGAAGCATGTATGCAGCAGAATCTGCCTCTAAAAAAGAAAAAAATGGTGAGAGAACTTGCATCCTTGCTCTCTCGAAAACAGGACAGCTTAATTTGAGGTTGGAGACCAGCAGGTTTATTGTGGCTGGTGTAGTATGTGTGGAAATAATCTCCTAAGTATTGCAGGGATGGTGTGTTTGTCCAGTTGAGCTCATTATAGAGTCACCATAGTAGAGAAAGGCCTTCTACAGCAAACCATTTGGGATATATAGTCTATAAATGGCTGCAGCTGTTATGTCTGATTAAAGAAATGGTAAATCAGTCATTCTTTTAAATGTGAAATTGTCAATAGTCCCCACGCATCTGCTGCCTCTGTGCTCTGCAGTAAAGCACACATGATAAGGTTCCTTGTAACTCCTGGGTCACTTTTCTGGCGTGAGAACCATGTCAGAGAGGGTTCTTCAGCAATTGTTCTTTGCTGCTCTGGCCTTGCAGACCTGCATGTAGAAGCTCCATGTCCCTGTGCCGTAACTACAAGCAAGAGTCCTGCCTGAAATTAGTAAAGGGCAATGGGGAGGCACAGCCAGGCCTTGGTTGTCAGGTGAAACGTGGATTAGTAATAGAGCTGCTTTGGAAACCTTGCAAATTGTGACCATTGTCATCCTCCTTGGATTAAAGGCAGTGATCATCCTGTGGTGTACTTGGTGAGGGAGTACAGAGGCTGCTTATTTCTGTTTATTTTCAGACTGAGCATCTTCCAGAGTAACTCTGTGCTTCTAAGCACCAGCCTGTGTATGTTTCTTTGGGTAAAAGAAATACATGTGTTTTTTCCAGCACATCACATCTGGGAGGGTTTCTTGTATGCAACATTTGTCTTGAACTAAATGAAATCTGGCAGTCACTTCTGTCAGAGAGAAAGGACTGCAATCTTTTGGTGGAATCCTTCTGGTGCAGGATGGGTTTTTAGAGTGGACTGCAAACTGGCTGTGCAAGCTCAGAACAGATTCCCAGAGTTCCTGCTGCAGACTGGCTTGCTTTCACAGTGACAGATGCAGGGTGAGATGAATAAGCTGTGTGCTCCTCCACAAAGCACCAGTACTTCCTGCTTGTGATATGCTGGAGAGTGTGCACTTGCCTAGGAGCAAAAGGGAACTGGCTGGCTCCTGCTTCTTGAGGGTCCCTTGCAACCTGGTATTCTATGATTCTATTCTGTTATTTGATTTGCAAACATCATATAGGAAATAAAACTACAGAGAAGTCTTCCAGGTTCTTAAATTCATCATCAAAGCTGAGCAAACATTATCTAGTTTATTTGGTTCCTGCAGACAACAGCAAAGCCTTTTGTCTCTTAGAGCTGATACTCTGTGTACAGCCCTTCTTCAGTGGCCTTAGCAGAGTACAACCTATTGCTGCTGGACCTGGCTGCAGTTCATGCAGAGCAAAGCATACACTGAGGAAATGTGGAGCTCTTGGAAGAAGACTTTGTTTCTTAAGTCAAATCATTGAAGTGTTTTCTAGGTCTGAAACAGCAATTTAACTCCTCATTACTTGCTATATTTGTCACCAAGGCTGTGTCCTTGTGATGTTCTCTTCTTTCAGTGGGGTGGGAGAAAAAAGGACAGAAAGCAACAATATTACATTTTAGTCTTCCAGTGAACTTACCTGGCCTTAAATTGCATTCTCTTCCACCTTCTTAGCAGTTCTGTAAAACCACTTTAAAATGGAACAATGCTTTAAAATTGTGGTTGACTTGTGGTATTAAGACTTCAAAGGCTGGTATTTCTCAGACTAAGTGTTGAATTTCGTTTCCAGCCTAGAGAGCCTCTAGGTTTACCTGCTTCCCATAGATCTGTTTAAAACTGACAAGCCTGTATCATCAGGTTTCAGAGTACACTGGGGAAACTTGGTAACTTTTATTGTCTGTCCTTTTCTTCCCACAGGGGTATGCTCCACCGCCAAAAAATGGGATTGAACAGAAGCGACCTGGGCGTCCCTTGAACATAACATCTCTAGTTAGGCTGTCTTCAGCTGTGCCAAACCAGATTTCCATTTCCTGGGCTTCTGAAATTGGAAAGGTGAACTGTATGATCTGTAGGATGTGGGAAGTTGTCTAGATAACCTCATCAGGCAACAGGGGAGAAAAAATACTTGATGTTGTTGGCCAGGTGTATACCAGCAAGTGCTTTGTATTAGGTAGCTGAACTTAACTGTAAGTGCCAGGAAAGATTTGCTCTAGAAGTATGGTAATTTACAGTAATATATATGATTCACATACACGTGGCAACGACCTCCTTATGGAATACACATTAGAAAGCCACCTGTTAGGGATTGTCTGAAATGTGTGTCAAAACTACCTGAAACTTTTTGTGGCATAAATAGTACAAAACAGTTAAGACATGACAAAATAACAAAAGGAAAACCTACTTTCCTCCTTGTAGCCTGACAGTGTGAAAAATGGCTTTGAACGACTTGGTCTAAGGGATTGGAACTAAATGAGCTTTAAGGTCCCTTCCAATGCAAACCAGTCTGTGATTCTATATTCTAAGGCATGTTTCTCAATATCTATCCATTAAAAAGTCAAAGAAGGCTTTTTATACTGACCAGATGTGCCAAGGCCATGAGGATGGAAACATGCATTTGCTTTTGAGGGTTTTGTGTTTTCTAACCAAGTAATACTAAGTAGTTTCACTGAAGCAATTTTTATTTCATAGGAAGAACTGCTCAATGGATATTTCCATCTCTGTTCTTCTAAGTTTCCTTTTTTTTTTTTTTTTTAATCTTTTTTCACATGGAAGTGGTTTCTCTATGGGTCAATTTAAAATTGAACTTGCAAATATACCAAAAAAGGGGTGGAATTTACAGGCGAGTTGCTGGGAAGGGTTTCCTGGGGAGGTTCCAAGCTGTTTCTGGGCTTGATGGATCTCAGACATGCTTGGTTGGACCCTTCTTGTGCAGGTGTGTGTTTGTAAAGCAGGATGTTTGAGCAGTGTGTTCCTTAAAGAATGACCATACATCATGTGTGTTCTTTCCAATGAAGAGTATTCTGGAAGTTTGGGTGACCTGAGGGAGAAGTGACTCAGTGTAGGGAGGGGTGCAAAGCTGGGGGAAAAAATTAAAAATGAAGCCTCTTCATAATTCAGTTCTAAACTACATGGAAAGCTGCAGTGGGGGTAGGCATGCTAGACTTGAGGTGGCAGGACATCAAGAGGATGGTGACTGAAACATACCTGTTGATTTCTGGTGCTTGCAGTCATTAATCATAATTGAAAAGAGATTAGCCTTCAAAATGGCTGTGTGGCTGTTTAGAAATCCCCCTGTGGATTTAGTAAGGAAAGGAACAAAGAGTGTGAGGAATTTCTGAATTCTGCCTAGGTTTAGATAGCAATTGCAGCAGCCATTTCAGCTGTTGGTAAGTCAAGAACTACTTACTGCTCTGTCTGTGACTAGCTGTGTAAATCCTTCTTCTGCATTCAGTTATAAAAGCAGCTTACTACTTACTCTTCGTAATCAAAGCCTGTACACTGGAGACGCCCCACATTTCAAAGTGAGATTCCAGTATAAGCTTTTATACACTAAATACAATTTAAAAAAGAAACTGGAGAGAAGGTTAATGTTCAGAAAACAAGTGAAGGGCAGTGCTGACAGCAAAGGTTTTGTTTCTCAGAGGTGGAGGGAAAGATCTCTGCTATTGCTTTCCAGTCATAAAGCACAAGGATCTAGAAATGACAGCAGCATTGTGTGTGGTCTTGGCCTGTCCTGCTCATCCCTGCTTTCTTTCTCCCCTGTGTCTGCCAAAACATACTGTCATGAAAGGAGATGAATTGGAGGTTGTCCCTACATCTCCCCTTGCCCTCAGAGGTAGTATGAGTTCTTTGTGGTGTTGGTGCTCTGCTCTTTAGAATTGACAAGGCAGTTGTCATGATTCATTCTCATAAATAAAACCCCCAGGAACAGTTTGGAGCAGGCTCATGGACATGTTGTTGTCTGATAGTGGAGGGCTTCTGAGCATTGGAGGCATTAACCCCACAGAGGTGTTCAGCCTTGAGTTCATAGAGTTCTTTCTGTGGGCAACAAACAGTGCAGTGTATGGTCATTCCTTAAGGGGGGAAAAAAATACTAATTTTTCTTAGTGGTTTCCCATGCATTTAGGTTACTCTGTTGGCTCATCTACATATTAAGCTTTTTTCCCTGTGGGTGGTAAAGGAGGAGTAGGGTGGTAGGTGTTCTTGTGCAGTACCCAGACAGTATAGGAGCCATAAGAAGGTGGCTGGCAGGGGGTGATAATAAGAGATCACAGGTTGTGTGTGTTATACTGATGAAACCATTATTATTCTGCAGCAGTGGGACTTGCAGAGTTTTCACTAGTGACCTCGAAGGGAGACTGAACAGAAGAAGCTGGCAAGTGGTGTGAATTAGGGAAGAGGAGTGAATGCTAGGGAATATGGCCAGACTAGGAAGAGTGGGTATGGAGTAATGAGGCTTGACTTAACAATGCAGAGCAAGCTAAAGAACAGGTGCAAAGAAGTTGGTGCAGCTGCATGCCATTCGAAGGTGTTGTGTTTGTACCTGAAAGACCATTCATCTTTTGTCTTTGAGTTCCCCATAACAGATTGACACTGAGAATAGGGAAGGATTTAGGAGACAGGTGTGAGAAGTTCTCAAAGGCTGCATGCATGGGCAGGTGTGCTCTGCTCTAAATCATCTTCCCAAGAAAAGAGCCCAGACTGGATTGGCAGGAGAGTTCTGGCAGAGTATTGGACTCTTTCACAGTGCTGAAGTCGTCCCTTAAGGCTCTCATAACTGTGAAGCCGAAAACATGCAAGATTTTGTTTTTATTGTAGCTACTAGTGTAAACGGTGATCTGTTGTCATGGTGAAAGTACTGTATGAAACCAATATTTAATCTTTCATCACTCTCTTTGTAGAATTACTCCATGTCTGTGTATCTTGTCCGTCAGCTCACTTCAGCAATGCTTTTGCAGAGATTAAAAATGAAAGGCATAAGGAACCCTGATCATTCCAGAGCACTAAGTAAGTCACACTGATTTGCCTGTCTGTATTTCCTGAGCGTGGCTGGTGACTCTTTAACTGTTAATCCTTAGGGGATTTGCAGCATTCTGAAAGAAGTCCATGCACAGAGTATCAAAGTTCCCTTTGCTATCACTCGGGCATTGTGCACGTTTTCACAGAGGGTCCCTGTGCTGGTTGGGAACACGTCTAAAGATCCTGTCCAAAATGTTATGTGAATTCCATGACCAGCCCTTCCTGGCCAGGGCTGTGAGGTGCAGGCACTCGCTTCACTTGCATGTTATGCTGGCTGTCCCTCACTCACTGATGATTGTTTTATTCATCTTCTTGCATGCTGGACTGAGTTTGTTCTACTAACCGTTGTAGCTGTTAATGCATCTGCTGCACATCAAACAATCTTGCAATGAACAGTGTTTGCCAGTTGCTTATGAGTAGCAAAACTATTGGTAGTTTGATATTGCTATGAACTAGTTTTCTAGATGCTTAATTTTTTTAGATAGCTGGAAATAAAGTACAAGTACTGGCAAATCAAGATTAGCATTCTAAATAATGATGTCTGTGTTGTAACTTCTTTAATAGTTAAAGAAAAACTAACTGCGGATCCTGATAGTGAGATTGCCACCACCAGTCTGCGTGTGTCTCTGATGTGTCCTGTAAGTATGGCTGGAAGTTACCATGTGCAGATCTGCATTTTCATCTTTCTAAAAGCAGCCCCACTTTGTTTAATACTGATTCATTAATATAGAACAGTGTGGACAAGAGTGCATCTACAAGCACCTGATTGTATCAGTGTTCAAACAACTGTGAATGCCTCTGGTGTAATGCAGTCAGAATCAAGTTGCCTCTCGTGTGTAATGAGGCCTTTAGAAGGAGTAATTTTGCATATTGAGGTGTTGAGACTAATTGGGCAGGGGGACAGAATAATTAAAGGATTTGGTGATAGATAAAACTTCTGATATCCTCATCATGGTGGTATTGGATGTACTGCCAGCTGCTGTAACAAACAAAATTGATCACTGTGTAACAGGTAATGCTGCATTGTGGTTTCTCTTCCCAGGTAATAACTGACCTTGTGCTTGTGACTGGTCTGTTAAGCTAAATATTAAAATGGGTATTATGCCATTCTAATGTAACTGAAGCTCAAAAACCCCCTTGAAATACTTGACTAAAAAATGGCAGAAGTGGGAACTTTGGTAGCTCTTTTTATTTCCAGGATTCAGTTTTTATTCACATTGGTTATTGGAAGGTCATTGGTTATTAGAGATCCATTAGAAATGTTTCTGACTGTTTTCAGTTCAGTGGAGACTTTGAGGATGGCTTTAGTTCTTTAAGAACAGTAAAGGGTGAACTTGCCTGCAGCATCCTTAGCACTGGGTGTCTCTGTAGAGACAATTACTTCACTGACTGCTTATATAAGGGGCCTATAAGAAAGATGGGGAGAGACTTTTTAGCAGTGCGTGCTGTGACAGGATATGGGGGAGTGGTTTTGAAGTAGAAAAGGGGAGATTCAGGCAGGATGTGAGGAAAAAATTCTTTACAATGAGGGTGCCCAGAGAAGCTGTGGCTGCCCCATCCCTGGCAGTGTTCAAGGCCAGGTTGGACACAGGGGCTTGGAGCAACCTGCTCCAGTGAAAGGTGTCCCTGCTTATTGCAGGCGTGTTGGACTAGATGGCCGATGAAGGTCCCTTCCAACTCAAATTATTTTGTGATTGTATGCCTCTGACTTCATTAGCCATCCAAACCTACTTCAGTGCCATCTGTTCTGACACTCTTGACATGCCTCTCCTGCAGCTGGGAAAAATGAGACTGACAATCCCATGCCGGGCTGTTACTTGCACTCACCTGCAATGTTTTGATGCTGCTCTTTATCTTCAAATGAATGAGAAGAAGCCCACCTGGATCTGCCCTGTCTGTGATAAAAAGGCAGCCTATGAGAGCTTGATCTTAGATGGGTAAGAGATTGGGTTTGCAGATTACACAGTTGCTTTTTTTTTTTTTTTATTCTGTACTTGATAGCTACTTTTGTGAGGTTTAGCCATCTCATACCATTTTTTTTTTTTTTCATCAAAATACATTAGTCTGGGAGGGATCATTAAGCTATGTTTCTGTTCCCATGTAACAAACTACAGAAGTTTGTTTCCAGACTGCATCATCAAACTCCTGATCCTCAGTGTATTTCTTCTGGAGAAACATCTAAGGATTGGTCTCCCTTTTACATAACCATTACTCTGAAGCTATTAACTTTAAGTTTTAATTTAAACTCAAACAAGTGTCAAACTTGATTCACAGAATGATGATTTCTGCTTTTGTATGAATTCCGTGAATTGCAGTAATGTTGGAGTGGAATATGGGCAGGTCAGGTTGCTCGTTTAGGCTTTGTCTGTGACAGCTGTAATTACAGGCTTTCAGGTAAGATTAACTAGGGAGAAAGTACATGCAGTGGGTTGAAGGTGTGATCGTAATTAGCTTTTCAACTGTGTCTCCTTTTCACTTATAATAAAAAACTCAACTGGAGTCAAAAATGAAACCATCCACCTTTATTTTTCAGGCTCTTCATGGAAATCCTTAATGAATGTTCAGATGTGGATGAGATTAAATTCCAGGAAGATGGCTCTTGGTGCCCCATGAGGCCAAAGAAAGAGGCTGTGAAAGTCTCAAGTCCACAGTGCACCAAAATAGAAAGTACGTACATCTGGTGACTGTACGTGCTAACAAAAGTCCTGGAGACTTAATTGCATCCTGGATAATTTGTGTGGATATTGGTGTTTTCTTCTGTGGAGGGCTTAAAACTTCTAAACTTCCTGCCATTGAAACCAAAAAGAAAGAGTTGTTTCTCTAAAAATGTGCCTTTTGCATCTTTTCTCTTCATAATAGCTGTTAAGAGAATGGAAGGTTGCTTTTATTTAAGGTCCTTACACTGATAAAGGAAGACTACAGTTTGTGCTTTCATAATCTCAGCATGATACAGAATACTGATCAAACAGTTCCTGGGCCATAGCATTCTCTGTAGTGGCCAGGAAGATGAGCTAAAACAGGATTTGAGTTCCTGGTCTATTGCAGGTAGAAACTGCTGATGTCAACAGCCTTTAAAACAACAGTGATACTTTATTTTCTCATTTAGGTTCCAGCGTTGTTAGCAAACCGTGTTCTGTGACAGTGGCCAGTGAGGCAAACAAGAAGAAAGTTGACGTTATTGACTTGACAGTAGAAAGCTCTTCTGACGAAGAGGAAGATCCTCCTGCCAAAAGGAAGTGCATTTTTATGTCTGAAACACAAGGAAGCCCAACCAAAGGGTTTGTCAATTTTAAAGTTAGTTGTTATTCTGTAATGTCTCAGATAAACTGATGTGTAGACAGGTGGACTTGTAATCTCTCTTCGGGATCCAGCTCCACACTTCCAGAGGAGAATTTCTAGGCCTCTCCTTGTAGCAGGCTGTCTCGATACAGTACCTTTGTACAGGTGAAACACTATTAAATAGTTTTACATCTCACAAAAGACTTGCGCTGACTGTTGCTATGTTTGCAGGGATATTTCTCCATAGAAAAGAGAGATTCTCCTGAGAAAGCAGATTATGCCAAGTGGAGGAGCTTTGTGCATTCTTGCTAAGTTAGTGTCATCTTAAAAGCTTTTCTTTTGCTGTCTGTTACACCCTTCAATCTGCTTTGGTGCCCAGGAAACAAGGCTGCGTTGCGTGTGTCATCCATCCTGTTGGTCTTGGAAGGGAGGCGCTTTGCTGTTTTGAATTGAGACAAGTTTTTCCTCCATCTCTCTGTTAAACTCTGGTATGTTATGGACACTGTTGGCTGTGGTTATCAGTCAATCCTGCACCTCAGCACAACCGACGACTTCAAGTCCCCTGTCAACTGATCATCTCTGTAGTTGTGCTGAACTTCAGTGTCAGGTTTAACCAGCTTCTTTACTGTTGTGCTGCCTTCTGTCTTGTCCCAGTCCATGCAACTTGGCTGCAGTTAGTTTGTGGCTTCCATAATGTTCTTGCTCTTGGCCTTTTGGGTGCAGGAGACCTGCAGAGAGAGAGGGGCAGTGGTTAGGCTCACCTGCAGTTGCCGCTCCGTGAGGCGATGCTAGTCATGGCTTAGTAGTTAGTGTTGCTGCCTGCATGAGGTGTGTGTCTGTGTCTCTCAGCATAGTGGCTTATGTCTTGTACTAAAATAATAGTAATAAAACCCAAACCCCTTCTGTTTTGCGAGCTCTTGAAGTAATGAGCAGGTGTGCTGTGTTTCTAGTCTGCAGGAATGTGTGGTCTTTGGTGAGCAAATAGCTGGTCGTCATCAACAACTTTCAGCAGTGATACTGACATGCTGCTGCTTTTTGTGAGGATTGTGGAGTAGTCCTTCTGCAAAAGACTTTCTTACTTTTGTAAGAACAAAATAGCTACAAATACATCTCTTAATGAAGTTTCAGAAGGCACCAAGACTTCCTTCCATGCTCCTGTGTTTGAGATGGCTACCTGCAACCATAATTGTAGGAGGACTGAGTTTTCTTGTCTCTCTGTGACCTATGTATTTTCCTTGCTGTTTGGGTATGGAAATGGCATGTTTTCCTTCTTCAAATCCAAGTCAAAGCCAGGCTTTTGGGGAATAGCTTATCTCCCATGAACAGTGTTGCCTGAATGCTGGTTTTGGCAAAACTGTGGGATGCCTTCCTGTAGGCAGAAGCAACGTTAGGCTGAAGTGTAAGAGGTGCTTGAGAAGGGAGGGTCTGAAATCCAAGCTTCTGAAATCGGAAACAGCATAAATGTACCAGTGCAGCAGTCTGGGGAGGAGCCCATGAGTGGGTAACACTCTTGGCTGGAGTGGAGCAGCCAGGAGCGGGTCTCTGGGTGTTTCCACCTGACTTGGAGCTTATGAAATACTTTATGCATATGGCTGAATGCCTGTTGTGTCAACATTAACAGTGCTGCAAAGTAATCGGGCTGAAGGTGGGGATGCAGAAGGGTTTTAACTGGTTGCATGCTCCTGGAGAGCTGAACTTATTTTGGGCTTAGGCTCTGAGTAAAGGTGGGTTTTGTGTTTTAACTCTGTGCTCCAGGGGCTGAATAATGCTCAGTCATGCCCTTGGTGGCGTGGGATAGCACAAAGGAACACTCATGGGGAAAAATTGAAACAAGGACTCTTCTCCTGGCTCTGGCTACCTGCACATCCCTCCAAGGGTGCTCCTCAGATACAGATACCCAGTTCTGTGTCCGAATGGTAGACTGCTATACCTGACTCCAGCACTGTACTTTGTTTTAATGCCAACTTGCTCTTATGTCACAGCTGCTGTTGAGAGCCAAGATACGGTCATGTTATTATGAAGACTGTTATGAAAGAGGAAATTAGAGTGGAATACTGTGTAGTGAGTAGCCACACTATAGCTGTGTTATCACAGAGTGATCTTGTGAGTAAGAGTGTGTGCTTTCTCCTCTGTAACTAACAGCCAGGTTGTTTGTAATTTCCCATGCTGTTTAAAACAGGGTGCTCATGTACCAGCCATCTACGGTCAGAGTGCCCAGTGTGACAACGGTCGATGCTGCTGCTATTCCTCCTTCATTAACAGACTATCCAGTACCATTCCATCATCCACCAATTTCCAATATTTCATCAGATCTGCCAGGTAGGTGGTGGCTATTTATAATGTTTAATTTGAGTTTTGAGTGGGGTGGGTGGAAATTTGAGAATTGATTAATATTTACTGGTTTTTTTTTTTTCTTTAATGGAACAAGACAATATGCAGTATTGTGGTGATGTGATGTGTAAGACAGTCCAGTAGAGGCTGTTTTTTCCAGTTTCAGAGTGCACTTGGTAACATTGATGTGAAAAACATTACTTCTGGGGTACAAATCGGCGCTGTGGAACAGCAGCCAGAAACGCTCTCACTGTATTCGGTTAGACTTTGAGTAAACATCCTGTTATTACATGCTGTAGATGAAAGGGAGAGTAGGTGCTTATTTAAGTTATAGACATGTGATGGCACTGACTCATCCCAATTCTAGACATAGAGATAGTTCTGTTAACTGATTCTAATGGTGCTCTGTCTAGACTGTATGAAAAAGGTTAAGGTGAGCTACAATATGTAAGCTGACCTCTATTGACTTTCTTTATCTAGACATACCCTAAATGCCTATGATGTATTCTTCAACACTGCTGCTAAATATCAGACAAAAGGTGGGGATACTGATTGTTTTCTATCCTGGCTCCTTGAAAAGAACACTGTATATAAGGGACTCTGGGGGTTCTCTTTGCCGGCTGTATGAACCCAGAGCCCAGGAACTGGTGACTTGTGGTGACAGGTGTCACGTTGGCCTCCTGTTCTTTCCTCTCCTCTTTCCATTGCCTGTCTCCATTTCTCCCCTGCAACATCTCTGGGTTTTTTCCTCTTCTTTCAGCACCAGTTTGGCAATGGGATGGATATCATTCCCCTTGTTTCTCTGTCCATTTTGGTTCCCTTACTGCTCCCTCCCTCCACTTCTCCTTTGTTAAGAATTTGGTTGTCTTCCTAAATTGGAGAGTTAGCTGAGAGAATGGGAGCCTAGAACTGTTGCCCATCCCTATCAATTGAAGCTCTAAAATGTGCAAGAACAGAAGAAGCTGACTATTCTGTAAAAGCAGCTGAGCTTAAACCTCCTTTATGATTTCTTTCTCGAATGGAGAAGAGGAGGAGAGATGCCACTGGCCTGAACAGATTTGGAGGCGAAGGGAGAGGGAGGGAGTAAGTTTCCCATGTCTTTCTGTTGACATAGCAAACACAAGGCCAATATTTAGAAATAAAACAAAAAAAAAAGGCTGTAATTTCTCATTGGTTTTGTAATTTTAAACATCTTGCCCTAAATGCTTACACGCTAATGGTGTATAAGATGGACGCTAGTTGTCACTGCTCTTAGAGGATATACCTTGAACTACTTGTAGTTTCCTCTTCTTCATTCCTTTTATTTGTCTAGACACAAAACGGGGATGATATTAGAAATGTTTCCTTATTGGCTGCCCATGGGTGGAGGGAGAGACCTGCTGCTTGTTTTTGGACTTGTGCATGTTGTGACTTTACTTCATTCCAGCATCCTTAATGTGATGACACTCTTCATGTCCCAGTTTGGCCAAGTCAGGTACAATATGCAGTGAAACTTGCATTATGAACCAACAGCTCCAAATGGCAACCTCCATCTAAGCAACCACATTGAACCACTCTGCAATATCCAGTGAATAATACATCATTATGTCATTCTCATTCTTAAAAAGAGCCACTTTGTACTAGATAACTCGTTTTGCTGCTGCCTGAAGTAGTCGTTGAGAGTGATGTCACAGTGGTATATTCCATATAGAAACTCTGTAAGAAAATCTGTTCTACAATCACAAAAAATAGAAAGTTCCTTAAATTTGTGATGTATGAATAAAAGACTCACCCATTTACTATCCTTCTCTTCTTCTAGGTTTGGATTTTCTTTCGCTTATCCCAGTAGATTCTCAGGTATGTTTCTGAACTGCTGGGTGTTTAACTTCTGGTTTTTGTGGCATACTGCTCAAGTAACTCTCAGGGTACAGTCACTGTCCATACAATGTTTGAGACCACTTGCCTAGACCTAACCAAAGCCCAGGACAATCCCAAGAGGTGGTAATGAGGACACATTGTAGGAGGATTCTGCATAGCTGTAGTATGATAAATCCAGACATCAAAACTCTTTATTGATAGTTTGCCCTTCTAAAGTGGAAACTAATTTGAATATACCCATCACGTACTTTTAGTGCCTACTGTGCATTTGTAGGCTAAAAGGAGCCTGCAGATACACTTCATCAATTGTTGGTTTTGATAGTAGTAGGAGATGAAGTTTTAAAGAAAATACCTTAATTAATTTGATGGGCACATGACTGAGCATTTTTATAACAACCTGTCTATGTGACACCTAAAGCCGATTCATTGGCTTTGGATCTGAAGCAGACCCTCTGCTTTGTCTCTGTCCTTAGAAGACAACAGCAGTAGGACTTTCCTGTAGAGTTGACTTTCTGGTGCCTTATAAACAAAGGCTGAACTTCCTCCTTTTCTTTCCACTTAACTGCATCTTGTAATGCTCTGTGCCTCACCTTGAGATCTGAACTGCCAAAAGTGGGAGTAACATATGGGAGGCTGGAAGCAGATACACTGCCATGAAGTGTCCACTTTGGACAGTTCAAACTTTTCAGGCTCAGTTCCATACATATGCCCATGGTTGGAACCCACAGGGTAAGAGAAAGTGAGGTGTGACAAAGAAAGTGTGTGTGTGCACGCAGGGGGTGCCTTACACTGCCCTCCTCTTTGACATCTGGTGGCCTTGTGTTTCTGAGTGCTCAGAATGTTCAGCTCTGCTTTCAGGAGGCTTGTTTTCTACCTCAGGGAGGTTAAACCAACTTAGTCATATTTCTGAATCAGACTTGATCAGGGTTCATTTTTCACAACTAAAATGTTTAGAGACCTCAGCATATTGTCACGGCATGGACTGTGAAAATGCGGCTGCTGCCCTGAAGGGAAGGAAATTACTCTGACCTCCACTGAAGTAGCAAAAAGGACTCTGCTACCTTTCATAATGAAAGGAGCAGGCACAGGTGGTTGTGCCTGGTAGCTGTGGGCAGTGAACACTTTCCAAATAATAGGCTTTTTTCTTGTGGATGTGGTAATGTTTGTTAACATGCTAGTAAGTGCACAAGCTAACCAGCTAGTAAGGGAAAACCAAAAAGGGGAGGAAGAGGGAGAAGGCTCATGGCCACCGTCTCTGCTTGCTCACTTGCTGGTTTTGCAGAACTCTGGTTCTTGCTGCGCATGTGTTAACAAGTAATGCATTTTGTGCCTGTTGTAGGGAAGATGTATCTTTAAAGCATACATTTCCCTTGTGCAGTTAGTCTCCTCATTCTTCATTGTTTGTTTCAAGCAGTACTGTCCTCCTATGTTTTTGGATAGTCTCTCCTCAACCTTAACAAGCAGCACGCCTGGCAGCATCATCACATCGACCAGTCACCACGAGGGCAGCACGCATGTTAGCTCCTCCAGCAGGAGCGAGGCAGGAGTGATAACAAGTGCTCCCGACATCATCTCGCTGGATTGAGGCAAGGGGCAGCACACTGGACTGCGGGATGCATTGCACAGAGCTGCTGCTCTCTCTCCCTTTCTCTTTCTCTCTTTCTCTCTCTCTCTCTCTGGAACTTCAGCACCTCACAAGTTAACTCTGATATTTATTGAAAGGATTTGCCTTCTGGGGAATGGAGTAAATTCATCTACATTAGGAACATAAGTGATAGATCTTATTTTTTTGTTTTTAGTCTTTCTGTTGCTCATTGAATAGCTGGTGTAGAAAAAGTACCTTCTGATCATGCTTTTATGCTTTTGGCTTGTTCTGGGGAAACTGATGATTTGTTGCAGGGTGGATTTCACAAATGTTTTTCAGTTTTGTTGTAAAATGCAGCAATAATGTAAAAACAAACTTTTTTTTTTTAATATATGAAAAGGCACTTAACCACTCTGTAACAACCATGATGACCTGGATTAGGTGCAGAAGTGTATGTCTTAGTGAATTTTTAGTATTTTCATTGGGACCTGTAATAAACTTAATTTCAGACAATGAAGCTCTGTGAAATAGCCATGCCTTGGGCTGTATGTCTCTTGTTCCTGGCTTCCCCCTTAACTTGGGGATATAGGGGAAGCCTCTGTAAATGAAATTTCTTTGTTTCTCCTTTCTTCCTCCTGATTTCATGTTTTTCATAAATGCAACAAAAATCCTAAGCTGTGGCTTCTTCTTGTACTGTTCTTTGGGCTGGAGAGGGGATAGACTATCTATGCAAACTCTGCTTTATGCCACCTCTGCACTGCATTGTCAGAACTGGGCCACCTCCCTACCACCAAAGCCTCCAAACTATGCACCACTGAGCTATAGTTGAATTTCTGGCTTGATAAATTTAAGAGGTGATAGTAAAAAAAAAAAAAAAAAAAAAAAAGCGCCTTTAAACTCAAATTTAGATTGAGGTCTTCGGTGGCCCTCTCTGAAGTTGCTGCCCCACACTAGATGACCAAAGGAAGTGCACACTTCCTATGGCACCTGTAAGGAGACAAAACAGGAATTACTTTATACAGTGCAGGAATATTTTCTAGGACCTCCTGCTCATGGCTTCTGGCACTGCAGTAACTGCTGTATGCTGTTTGGGAGCACCACACTCTTGCTTGCCACAGTGGAGGCTTGGCTTTTAGGAAGATAAAAACTGTTCATAGATGCACAATATTCCCACCTGACTGAAACTATGTGTTTATGGCTCAATGCCACTTTTTCCCACTTCACGCAGCCTCCTAATCATGGCTTTTATAATTCAATGAGAGTACCTTCCTCCTGTTTTACTCCTCTGCAAATCTGCTGCTTCACTGTGTGTCTCCCCATGCGCCTCCCAGGATAACCTCAGCAGTGCTGTATGTGGAAGAGGTTACAGACCAGGAAAACCAAGTTGTGTTCATAGAGCTGGAATAGTAGTATTGTTTGTGTAGGCTGACATAGCAGCTTTTCCAAGTGTTGTGTTTCTGCTGAGTAATCGTATTTGAGATTATTCCTTCTGTAATGGCCAGCTTTCACTTTTACGTAATTTTGTGTTCCTGTTATTTCTTTGGTTGGATGTCTGGTGCTTTTTACCTTCTGTTACTGTTCCAGTATCTGAACGAAGTACATGGATAAGAAATACTGAAGCAGGATGTATTGTAACTGTCTGCCCTGTGCTCCTGCCTGTAACAGTGTCATTGCCTTGATTTTTTTTTTTTTCCTATGATCTTTCACAGCAATTTTCAGTTGATAGGTTGATTTTTAATATTGCCTCTGGTTTTGATTCTTTCCTTATCTGCTGAATTTTTTTGTACCTGTTACGAATCAGTTTTTAGCATGATTTGTTTCCAATAAAGCCATACTGCTCATGACTTTTTCTTTTCCTGCTAATGGTCTGTGGCGTATCAGTGCTTTCTGCATCCCAGTTGCACAGTGACTTGAGCTATGAAAGTATGGAAAGAGGTCCACATTTATTCCGAGTAATGCATTTCAGACTGGTTTCTACTGCAGAAGATGCCATTTGTGCTCCTGATGTCCAACTTAAGCATTCAACTGCTCAGTAAGGGCAAGTGCCATTTTTAGGATATGTGCTGTAGCCCATGGGTGTTGTAAAATAGGGCTGGAATGTTGTTAATTATTATGTCCTGTGTAGTAATTCTCAGGGCTGAGGCAGGGTGTTCTCTGGATGATTTGGGTGGGAGCTTTGCAGCTACATTTTTTTAAAACCTAGTGCCCTGCGGAGGACTTTGGTGGGGGGGGTGGTGGTGGTTGATGAGAACCTTGACATGAGCCAGCTTCAGTGTGCGCTTGAGCCCAGAAACCAACCGTGTCCTGGGCTGCATCAAAAAAAGCGTGACCAGCAGGTCAAAGGAGGTGATCCTGCCCCTCTACTCTGCTCTTGTGAGACCTCACTTGGAGTATTGTGTCCAGTTCTGGTGTCCTCAACATAAAAAGGACATGGAGCTGCCAGAGGAGGGCCATGAGGATGATCAGGGGCTGGAGCACCTCCCGAATGAAGACAGGCTGAGAAAGTTGGGGCTGTTCAGCCTGGAGAAGAGAAGACTGTGTGGAGGCCTTATAGCAGCCTTCCAGTATCTGAAGGGGGCCTACAAGGATGCTGGGGAGGACTCTTCATTAGGGACTGTAGTGGTAGGACAAGGGGTAATGGCTTTAAACTTAAACAGGGGAAGTTTAGGTTAGATATAAGGAAGAAGTTCTTCACAGTGAGGCTGGTGAGGCACTGGAATAGGTTGGCCCAGGGAGTTGTGAATGCTCCATTGCTGGCAGTGTTCAAGGCCAGGAGCCTTGGGTGACATGGTTTGGTGCGAGGTGTCCCTGCCCATGGCAGGGGGGTTGGAACTAGATGATCTTAAGGTCCTTTCCAACCCAAACCATTCTATGATTCTATGACAGCAATGTCAAATGCGAGCTCCAGCCATTTGAGCCTTGCCCATTTAGGAGAGTGCTATCCTGTTCTAGGCTGTGGTGCAAGATGTTGAGGTAGACAATGCTGTTTAGCTGCAGTGCTGATGTACATGCAATAGGTGATTACAAGGCTTGTGTAGCCCTAAATCCTTTTATTCACTTGAGGTTGTATCAAGGGTTGGAGTACTGTAGTGCAACCATGTCACAACAAAGAATTTACACAGGGGACTGGGGGTTGCAACTTAATCGAGGCCTATGCCCAATTAGCCTCGTTCTGAGCAAACCTGTCCATTGTAGCTAGATGAGGCTTTGGTCTAAAGTGCACCAGGGTGTCAATCTGAGAACTCTGAACTGGAGGAAAATCTTAAAGGTTCAGTGACTTCTTATCTCTCTTTCCACTACAGAAGTATCTGTTACTGCAAACCAGCTGCAGAAGGAAAGTAAACCTTATGAGATGACTGTAATGTCATAGAACAGCTAGGGTTGGAAAGAACCTTAAAATCATCTGGTTCAAACCCCCCTGCCATGAGCAGGGACACCACACACTAAACTATGTCGCCCAAGGCTCTGTCCAACCTGGCCTTGAACACCGCCACGGTTGGAGCATTCACAACTTCCTTGGGCACCCTATTCCAGTGCCTCACCAGCCGCACTTTGAAAAACTTCTTCCTTATATCTAACCTAAAGTTCCCCTGTTTAAGTTTGAAGCCATTACCCCTTCTCCTACCACTAGAGCCCCTAAGGAAGAGTCCCTCCCCAGCATCCTTGTAGGCCCCTTTCAGATACTGGAAGGCTGCTATGAGGTCTCCACGCAGCCTTCTCTTCTCCAGGCTGAACAGCCCCAACTTTCTCAGCCTGTCTTCATACGGGAGGTGCTGCAGACCCTGATCATCCTCGTGGCCTCCTCTGGACTTGCTCCAACAGCTCCATGTCCTTCTCATGTTGAGGACACAAGCACGTAGGACCAGCATGCAGTGAGAGCTGGCCCTTTTCCTTTCCCTCACCCATGCATTTGCTGCTTCTATTCCTGCATTTTCTGGAAGTGAGCTGGCTGCTAAATTCTGGTTATAGAAAAGCTGTACCTGTGCTCCCGAGGACTGTCAGCCTGAGCAGCTGCTGATTTTTCTACTTCCACATCAAATAATGAGTCTGAAATGTTCACAAGCCATATGTGCAGGACTGTGCTGCCCAACAGTACAGCCCCAGGGGGTTCTGGACTTACCCAGCATCAAGAATTTGAGCATTTCCAACCTTAGCGAGGATTTTCTGTATCTGCCTCAATCTAGGTGCTGGATGCCAGAAAGCCAGGGTTGCTAAACTGATCTTACCCCAGGAAGCCTCTGAAAGTTACAAGACAGCAGCTGTGGAGATTTTACACCAGCTTGGCTACCTTGTTCTTCCTCTTCCCTAAGCACTCACTTTCAGTCACTGCCATGAACAAGATGCTGGGCTAACTCAGCGTTGAGTCCAACACTACAAGAACATCACGTTTAACTGCAGATCTATAGCTGTTTCCTGTGCCATTTCCTCATCTGCAGACAGTGTCATCCCCTTCACCAAGTGTTCAGTCCTGTGAGGAGCTCCTGCTGTGACCTGAGACTTTGCTACTGTAGAACCATGTCTAACCATTAGTGTATAGGAATACTGATACTTCCCTCTGTCTTTAGATTGCCGACTTAGTGAGAATCAGCTTTGGAAAAGCATTAAAAAGGTAGATTTCCAGAATGTGGATATTACTGTGCTATGTAAATTGAGACTGCAAGCCCAATGTAACACACTTCCCACCGTGGCTGAGCTTATACTTCTTGTTTTCCCATGTTTGGAAAATGGGTCTCCTGATAAAATTGTTTTAAGCTCTAAGGAAACTTGGAGAATGGAAAAAAAACCAAAATACTCAAAATCCAGAAACGCAAACACATGTGTAAATTGTTTTTTTAAGAAGTTAAATTGCCATTTCAGACTTTACAAGTTAAGCATCTATTTCATCCCTAATGATTTCAGCAGTTACCACATTAATGTTCCTTGGCAAAGAAACCCCCTCTAAAATAAAACATGGCATTTCTTACAGTTTGATGTGCAAGGAGTTCCAAACACGCCCCATG